TTTTGAGCCTTGCGTATTCACAACTCGTAGGGTCAGAACGTCCGTCAGGAGAGATAGGCATAGCAGTCACAGCTTCGACGTCCGGCGCTCAAATGAGTGAGAAACGGGTAGCAGGGCAGGTCCATGGTAGAGTGGGAGGAGCTACTGGTCATGCGATCCAATGGGAGTCCTGGAAAGAGAGTGCATTTCCTTGCTCGACAGGCATTGGTGGGGAAAATTTTTAAAGTTAAAAACTTCGTTTAAATCCTGGGTACGTTAATATGATGAAATAAAAAAGAGAGTTGTCTAGATACTATACAATAACATTAAGTAACGGGATTCTGGACTGAAATAAGTTGGCCTAATTTTAATGAGTTCTGAACTAAGTATAAAAATAGGATAAATTGGACATATCAAGTGATGGTGTGATGATGCTTATTGGTTCCTATTCTGTATGACAGATGGCGACACATGCGCGTGTGCTTTTGAGAATTGCATGTATGGTGAGGGAATGCAAACATAACATAGCTATTGAAATGCAAAATTTAGTAATTAAAGCAGTAGATAGATTAAATTAAGTGCCGGAGAACTGCTCCGGGTCTTTTTTTATTAGCTTCGCTATTGTAATCATAATTTAGTCTTGGGATGGAACTGTTGTTAATCTTTTCTATGTTGTTGAAGAATTTCCGTGCTATTTTTGCTATGTGTATGCTAATACTTTCAATATTTAATTCATTCTGGATAGCCTCGTTTCTGAAGAACCAGGGACTGTTGGATATAATCCTCAGCACGACATTTTGACTTTGCTGAATTTTAAGCATGTGGGTTTTGCACACATAACCCCAGACTGGGCAGGCATAGGTGATAATGGGTCGCAACATGGATCTATATACATGAAGTTTATTTTGTATAGATAAAACGGAGTTTCGGGCAATTAGGGGGTTGAGTAAGGCTTTAGTACCCCGAAACTTGTTCAAAACAAATGTTATGTGTGGGGCCCAAGTGAGTTTTTGGTCTAAAATGACTCCGAGATATTTGGCTTGCTTGGCCCAGGGAATACTGATGTCATACATTTTGAGGGTGATACTTAAGTCGAAGATCCTTTTCTTCGTGAAATATACAGCTTCCGACTTTTCAACATTGATCTTGATTTTCCACTTAATCCTCCAGGACTCTAGTGCATGGATGTGTTCTTGTAGTGCCTGTACGACTGCGGCCATAGACGCAGCTTGATATAGGATCGCGGTGTCGTCTGCATAGAGTGCTAGTGTTGTGAGAGGGTTGTGAGGGATGTCGTTCGTATAAATAGAAAATAGTGTGGGCGAAAGCAAACTTCCTTGCGGTAAGCCCGCAAGGGTTACTTTCCGTGTAGAGTGAGTGTTGTTATAACGAACGACAAAGTATCTATCATATAGATAGGAATTAATGATGTTTATGATGTAATCTGGGAAACCCAGAGTGATTAGTTTGTATGTGAGGCCCTGTAACCATACACAATCAAAGGCTTTCGAGATATCGAGAAAGAGTGCTCCAGTGATGTGTCTTTTTTGGAATCCTTCAGCAATCATTTCTGTGACTCTGTACAATTGATGAGTTGTAGAGTGTTTGCTCCGGAATCCGTACTGCTGTGGGATGAGGATTTGGTTTTCTTCAAGGAATTCTTGGATTCTATTTAAGATGACCGCTTCAGCGACTTTGCTTAAGGTCGACAGTAAACTGATCGGCCTGTAGGAGGAAGCCAGCGTTGGGTCTTTTCCGGGTTTCAAATCGGTGCTATGATTGCAGTTTTCCAATTGGTTGGAAAGTGATGTAGGCGGAGCATAGCGTTCAATAATTTGGAGAATTTACATAACATTTTTGCTCCCATTTCCTTGATCATCTTGTTACTGATTTTGTCTATACCAGGGCTTTTTCGATTCTTTCTCTTCTCGATATATCTAATAACCTCTGAAGGCATGACTAAGGGTGTGTTGTTTGTGTGTGTTTTTGTTTGGAATTGTGTGATGAGTGTCGAAACCAAGTGTTCTGTTTGAGGGTTAGAAATGTTGTGAGTGCGAAATTGAGATGCATAGTGATCTGCAATAGACTCAGCTTTCTCAAAATCGGTGTATGCGATCCCGTGGGGGCCATTAATGGGCGGAATATTAGTGTTGCGTCTCTTAAATTTAGAAACAGCACTCCACAGTGAGTTATCATCTGTGGATAATGCTTCTAAGTGTCTGGCCCAGTCAAGTTGTGCATGTTTTTTTAGTAGAGTCCTGACTTGTTGGTTTAATTGATTAAGTAGAATTTTATCCGTAGGACATCTGAAACGCTGCCATTGCTTCCGTGTGCGGTTTCTGTTCCGGATCAGCTCCCGGATTGCACTGTTCTTGTATCTTCTGTCAGCTCTCATTGCTTTGCTGTTTTTGAGTAAGGCATCTTGAAGCTCATCAGTGAATTCTTCAGTATAAGCGTCTAACGCATCCCTGGAATGTATCGTGGTGGTAGGGTACTGAGTGTTGTTTAGAGCTTTGGCATAACCTGCCCAGTTTGTAAAAAGGGCTCTTTTGTGTGGTGTACTGTAGGAGTCGGTAGATATTTCCATCATCACCGGATTATGGTCAGAAGACAATTCTGTCAGACTTTCGACATAACTCGGGGGGTTGATGTTTTTTAATATAAAAAAATCCATAATTGATGGTCTACCTATCCCACAGTGTGTTGGTTTATCTGGTACTGCTAGGTGAATATTGGCCGCTAGGGCAATGTCGTGTATGACTCGTCCGTGTTGATTGATATCCCAGCAGTTCCACTCGCGGTGGTGTGCGTTGAAATCTCCACCTATGATGACTCGATTGTTAGTATTTAAAAGTGTTTGCAAATCTGTCCGAACAGAATTTGTAGGTGAGTGTATAGGAAAATAGGTGGAGATAATAGTGAGTGGTCGTGATGTGTTTGGCGTGAGTGTAATAGCTAGGGCTTCAATCGCTAAAAGCTGTGGAAGTGGAGTGACATGATGAGGGATGGAGCGCTTAACTAAAATTAGCAGACCTCCTCGTGCATTTCCTCTAGGTGCAAATCTACCTTCGGTAGGCCTGTTCCATCGATGCGTTATATAATTGGAAGCTCTGAAATAATTTTGGGTACCAAGCATGTGTTCTTGTAGGAGTAAAATATCGGGGGAAACTTCATGTAAAAACTCCTTAAGCTCATAGGCTTTTTGGAGCAATCCATTTGTGTTCCACGTGACAAGAGTGAGAGGCATATTAGGGTTGTTCTGATACATGATTATTGATTTCACTAACAATTTCGTAGAACATAAATAGCTTATCTATAGGGTCAGACAAGGTTTTCAATTTAGGTAAATAATTTTTAAAAACGTTATTCATCAATCTAATATTATTGATTCCTAAAATGTTGTTAATTTCGGCGATATTTTTCATAAAATTAATGAATTCAGAGCCTTCTGGCTTCTCCTGGCTATCCATAACATTTTCTTTTCTTTTACTATTAGGGTTATCACTATTGGTCATATTTAGATTTTTTAAAGCATTGCTTAAATCACTGAGCTTAATATTATCATTTTTCATTGAGTGCAAATTTTGTGCAGCAGAAGCCGATTCTGAGGGATAAAATTTAGTATTGCCATTAAGCATATTGTTATGTCGTTTTGCCATATCTGCATAGGAGATGCCTTTTCTGAGAGCGTTGTCCTGTTTGTGCTGGGCAGGTCTATTTCGTGGGAATTTCTCACACCCACGGTATGAAGCTACATGGTTTTTGAGGCAATTGGCGCACTTGGGCTCTTCCATCCTTCCTTTGGTGGGGCAGTCCATGGTTTTGTGTTCCAGCGAGCACTTAACGCATCGAGGAGCAAAGTGACAATTTTCGGAGGAGTGGTGCCACTTTTGGCAGTTATAGCACTGTGGCACCTGATTCTTCGAAATATATTTTTCTACTGAGACAGCAAAGAGAAGGAGGTCGGTGATTTGATAAATCTCGTCCGCTTTTTCGTTCTTGATAATTTGTACAAGGAATAAAGGCATGGGAGCTTTGGTTCTTCGTCTTGTAAGTTGCGTGACTTTACTGATTCCGAATCCCTTTTCCGATAAGGCAGTGGCTATATCCTCCGGTTTTGTGGTTATAGACAGTCCTCTGAGAACCACTTTGATTGGACGGGCGTAATTTGCGTTAATGACGTAGTGCTCTACTTTTTTTTCCAAGAATAGAGACGTCAGGATTCTGTGGTCATCTGCAGTGCGTGGTAGGACTTTCAAAAGTTCACCATTGACTTTTCCCAAAAATTTCGCTTCAGTTTGCAGAGCTAATTCCTTGAGAAAAACTTCGTGCGTCAGTTTTCCGGGATTAACCATTATGGGGGGAATAGCCTGTGATTGGCTGATGGTCGGCTGCTGCTGCACGGCCTGTCCGTCTGGGTTATTACTAGCATTTACTTTTTCATCATTACTAGAATTTTCATTTAATACAGAATAACGATTAACAGTTTCTAAATTTAATGGAACTTTATCTAATTTTTGTTGCTTAGCAGTTTTTACAGGTAACTTAAATCCATCATTATCTATAATCAAATTGCCATGACTAATTTTCCTCTTAGCTTTAATTTCCTCATTTTTCTTTTTCATGCTAGAAGTAACAGGGGGAATAATGCCTGAAGAGCAAGATAAATTGCACTTACCTCTTATTTCTGCAGCTTGGGCCTGGAGTATGCGTAAATTCTTCATCATGATATCCGTAGTGGTATCCGGGTCAGAAACCGCGCGTAGCCGTTGGCATGCTTTAATAGCGGTCTTCACAGCATCAATTTCCTTTTCTAAATCCATGAGCTTTTCCGTATAATATTCCAGGTTGTCGTTAATATCCGATTGGGGTTGCTGGGGAAGTCCAACACAACTCTCAGTGGCGGCAGGTGTCTCAGGCGGGACGCTAACATCCATCCGTATAGTAGCCTCGGCAGTAGAGCCTATCTCCGTCGGAGCGCTCATGATGCGCACCTTCACGTTCAAGGATCAAGGGTAAAATGTTAGATATGTCGAAATGAAGTGAAATAGTGGCATGATAAGTGGGTGTTTTCCACGATTGGAGGAATATTTTATTCAGTTTGTTCTGAAAGCCTGTGTTTTTGTGTGTGTGTGATTCGTAGCAGAATTAAGAATTTAATAACTGTTTAATATTTTCTTAAATCGGCAATAGTAGATTCATTGGTACTGATTTCTACACATGAGAGATGATTTATTATGAGACTGTTTAAATTTATAGTTGGAACAGAGATTGGAAGAGCGCATAGAATTTAGCGTCTGTCAGATTTAAGATTTCAATGAAAAGTTTGCTTTACGTTTTGTAGTCAAGTTTATATATAGCCTTATAATAGTGCCTTCTTACTTCTAAAATGGGAAATATTTATACGGTTGGTCCTAATGAAGCTCTGATAGTATCGGGTAAGATGATATTTAATATTTTGAAAATAACGAATTATTCTCGGTGTGGTGTATAAGTACAAAAATGTCGCATGTTCTTATGTGTAATGCGAATATTCATTAAATTTTTAAAGGTTTAATTTCACATAGTTCCTGATAAATATTTTTCTGTATTGAAACACGAGAGTACAAAATTTTTTATGGTAGTTAAAAGTGATGATGTAATTTTTCTAATTCGGACATATTGTGTGTATTAAACTGTTTAAAGAAATATTAATGATATTTTGGCATGCCAAATTGCAAATAATCTCGACACGGAAATCTTTCAATACTTTGAATTAGTCATACACTGTAAATAATTTGTAATAAATTGGTAATTGTGCCGTCGTTATCTGAAAGTGTTTCTCTCATATGATTTTTCCAAAATTATCTTAAATGCCTGTCAGATAAGTAAAAAAATTAATAAATTTTTTGCAAAAACTCTTGTGGCAAATAGATAGGTTTGTTGCATGCAAATTTAATGACAATTAACTTAGTTAAAAATTACCTGCACCACCATTTTTTAGTTAAAAATTACCTGCACCACCATTTTTTTATATCTTTGTATAAACCTTCAATGAATAAGTAGGTGACTTTATTAACCTTTTTTAAGATGTTAAGACGTCAAAAGTATAAAAATGAATGAAAATTCTTAAGCAGTAAAAAATATATAGTTGCATCAGATATATATTCCAAACTAAAGAATCGCATGGTAATATGACACTTTTATGGCTTTGTGCGTTGCTTTTTTTTTTTTTTTTTGTTTTGTTTTGTTTGTGTTGTTGCATTTAATATATTGTAAAGTCATACCACTGTTAAAACCTTGCATATTATAAATATTTCAAAGCCACTTAACTAGAACTTAACATCTATATTATATTGCTTAAATATGGATTTAATGTCTTTTATTGAAGGTTTCATATAAATATATTTTTCACCTTCAAATCAGCTGTTATTTCATAATTTAAATTTTATTGTAGGAGGCTGCTGTGGTTCATCAGAGAAACGAACTGTAGTTGGAGGATGGGCATGGGCTTGGTGGTTAGTCACAGATGTCCAAAGGTAAATTCTTGATATTTTGTGCGGGTTTTCATCTGCAGAGAACCCGTTGACGCCGTTGCATTTTACTCGCCAATGAGGCGAGCCATAAACGTGATTTTTAGTGCATGTAAATTCAAGTTAGCAGACAATGGTAGTAAAAATTCACAGATAATAAGCATGTAGATGTAAAACTAACCAGTTAAACATGATATACGAAAATAAATTTGTCTTAAATTCAACTTTACTTTGTCCATGTACACATCGATATATTTTCACTTAAAAAGTCAAAGGAGCCCCAAATTCTACGATATAGGCAAACAAAAAATATATAATCTCAATAAAATACATTTTAAACCAAACAATAAAATAACATAAAAATGAAAAAACATGTTGCACATTTAAGCACTACCAAAAGCAATATTCAATTACCATGATTTTCGAGTTCGCTTTGTACACCCAGAGCCACGTAAAAATCAAAATATCAATCATGCTCAAATGGCTAAACCAGGTACTCTTTCTGATCGAAAGCTTCACATAGTGACCATCTGAACCTTTCTTTCTACAAACCCATTCAAATCCATCTAAACGGTTTTTACGTTTGACTAGACGCATATCCTTCCTACATACAGGACACTTATACTGGATACTAAGTAAACCTTCTTTTACACACCAGTCAATTAAAGCTTTTTTCCCTTTTCTAAAAGAAAATTCTCCAAATTCTAAATTTTCTCCGAATCGTACAGAAACTTCAAATCAATCGTACTACATTCGGCCATTCTACCGTCTAAAGAATCAAAGCAACACACACCACAAAAACGCTTACAAAATATCCCAGATTCATGCACCCGATTATGTCACAATAGGGTTTCCATAACATTCAACTACTCAGGCTACCATAAATGAAACAACAATTTGGTAATAAATCGAACAACAACTTGGTGATATAAATCAAATAACAGCTTCGCCTTAATACAAGGTGTACCTTTAAGTCTACTCTACCCAGTGTCTTTTTTCATTTTTAAGTATGTTGATTGATGTATTTCGGTAAGAGCCATGCCCATGTAATAAATTAATGCATGACCTTTAGTACATCCATTTTGTATAGTTTTCATTATTATTATTTTTTTCAAGTTACTTGCATGCATCTTAAAGCATTTTATATTGAATCAAATACCTGTCATAAAATATTTCACAGTACAAACAATCTTCAATAGTGATCAAATTTTCTTCAGTAACGTTAATAAAACTAGAACTTCATACATTTTATTATTTTTCAAGAGTAATTTGAACTGTATTCCTTACACCAACAGTGGTTTGCTAATTTTGATGACCATGGGGATGCATCAAACTATTCTGTCATCTTAGATAATCAATAATATTTTTTATTACAATTTAATCAGCTATTTATGTTACACCTGCCATCCTCTGAAAGATTATTGTTAGAAAAGCATTAACAATATAGTATCTTGTTAAAATTTTACGCCATAAAAATTGATTTATTCTCGTAATTTTAGATGACAATAACCAATAATAAAAATAAAAGTAATCCATAATTATTTAAAATGCACATTTTTGCGGCCTATGAAAACAAATTATTTTAGGGGTTGGAAACCTCGTGGTTCTGCGTGCTTACAGCTGTTAATAATTAAGAATACAACGTGAACAGCAGTGTTACAAACTAGCATTCATCCCTCCCGCCATATTTTCTTCCTTTGATCCCGAACTGACGAGCCAAGAACTGGCATCTATTGATGAAAACTTCTTTAATTATACGAAAATATTTCTATTTATTCATTGTTAAAAAATTTTAAAAAAATAATAATAAATAAAAAGAATAATATAAATCTCCATATGTGAACGATAACCTTCGAACAAGCGAATAGGATGAATCGGCTATGTTATGTTACCAGGTTTGAACTATTATTGCCAAAGTTGGCGATGTTTACATTTACCGGGTTCTCTGTGGAAGTGCTTCCTTTTGTGCTTTTATTTGATAAAAAAGGATATAATGTGTATTTATTTATTAGACAAGTAAAATGACCATAATATGCCACTATTATTGAGAGCTGTGAAGCTCAATAACAAGAGCATCCATGTTAGCTTTAAGAATTGTTTCTGTAGTGATAAGCTGTTTTGGTTAATATTTGGATTATGGTAACTTGGCGATTTTTTGGCGAAAATTTGGTGACCAACCCTGCTGCTACAGCAACCTGCTAGTTTTTGTTTGGACGCCATTTTGTTTTCACGAAGTAAAGGCATGCTTTTTTTTTTACTCAAAATTTTTTTCCAACAATCTGCTAGCTGAATTACGCTTATGCTAGAACTTTTATGGAACAAAAGTACTTAATCATGACGAAGATTAGATGCGAAATTGGGAGAAAGTGCAGAATCCCTCACTGCTTGCCGCATTTTTAAGAATTGCGCGTACACGGTGTCGTCCATGTACACGTTGACCTATTTTCACTTAAAAAAACTTTCCAGAATTGCACAAAAATGGCATTGCGCACACTCTTGACTTTATCCATGTACACTGCTAAAGTCCTAGTTAGTAATCTTTATTGCCTTACCAAAATATCGCCAAACTACATGTTACCATATTCCAATGATTAGCCGCTGTTTTATTTGATAAGCTAGTCATAGTTTGTAGTGTGTACTTTTTTCTTCTGGGAATATCTGAAAATTTTTAAACTCTGCACTGCCAATTAATGCGTACCTGCAGTCTAGGTAGAAGTAACAGTATGTAGAAAAAAAGGAAAAGTTTTCCATTAAACTCAAGATTAGGCCTTAGGAATGTGTATGGTACGATAACAAGTATTTAGATATTTTGTAGCATTATATGCTGTTAGAAGTTTCACCAATGTAAGCAATTTTGGATAAAACTGGATATTGCAGACCAGTTTGGTGCATTTTCAAAAAACCACCAAGTAGCCAAATCTGTTATTTTTGGGTGTTCTAGAAAATCGCTAACTCGTCATATTGCCATATTAGATGGTTGCAAATGTGAATTAATCCTGTAAACAGGCAAAAATATCTAAACAGCCTGTAAACTTGTAACAGTATCTAAGATTTTCAAGAAAAACAATGAAAAAAAAGTATCTGGAAATTAACATGTTGACTGCCTAACACGAGATAACTAATATTAGCGCTCTTCTTTAGGATACCCAATGCAAATTATCTTGTAGTTTCTTGACTTGTAACTTGCACCGATACGAGTTACTTAGGTCCCAATCACATTATGTTTCGGCTATGCGGGACTTGACTTTGAAAGGGACAATTCTCAGAAGCCGCAAAATTCCAGGAAACACATGTAGCTAGGTTACCATTCTCACTTACTACAAAGACTTGAACATCAAACAGTAATCGATTATTGCTCAAATCGTGACCACGTGATCTTTGAGAAGCAGAACTTTCATTTGATTGGTTGTCTCAACCCGGGACCCGAGACATTTTCGGTGAGGTTTGAAAAATCCCGCGTAGTCGCAACATTGCTTCCGTAGCTATGCTGGGCTCTTTTTTCTAGGAATTCTCCCGTTTAAACCAGTGTTACCAGAATCTCCTTTCTCGGAAAAGTCCCGTCTGTTAGGAACTGTAGCCATGTGTGATAACCTGATTACTTGCTTAGTGCTTGTTTCCGCTGTACCAAGGTGACAAGAAGCATGTCTGTACGAATTAACTCGTAGTGGGCTTGTGCGAAGAGCTTTGTCGTAACAAAAGGCTACTATGAGATAATTCGTAGGACCCTTTTTCTACAAAATAAATCCTGTAAACTTTTTAATGATTGTTACAAATTGTAATTGGTATTTTTAATATGATTAAATCGATTTGGCTTCTCGGACCAGAATCCGAAAATTGCATTGGCAGTCAGCGTGTTAATAACAATGTATTTTATGGGATCAACAATATTAAAACTTTTCATAATATCATATACCATTAAGACGGTAGCAAAAGGGAGTAAAACGTTTTATCACAAAATTTAAGAAATTGTAAAAAGCAGTAAATGAGCAATAAATAATCAAAAAACATTGATTCTATTTAAGATAAAAACTTGAAAAAGTAAGATAAAATTCAAAATTTTGATCAACTGAAACAAGAGCAATTTCAACTGCGTAATTTATGTTTTTACAAAAAAAAAAAAAAAAAAAAAAATATATTTATAATAAGCAGTAGAAACCCACATTTATTTATATCTACACTAAAATGTAACGATACAATGGAGATGAAATTCAAAATGGCACACTCATTTCAACCATATGCTTAACCACCTATAATGTACTTGCATCTAATGAGAATTATTTTTATTGTTATTTATATTTAAATTAAAATCTGTATTAATCAATTCAGAGCTAAAAGTGGATATTACGGGCCCGAAAAAATCGCCAGTTCGTCAAATGTGTTATCTGACGTGTTTTGAATGAATACTGTAAACATGCAAAGAATTCATATCTAAAACGGAAGTTTGAGAAAAACAGCGAAAAAGTATTTGAAAGTTAATAACTATGTATTTTATAAGATCAAAAGTATTAAGACTTTAACACCATATACCAGTTTTAAGACAATGGCAAAAGAGGATAAACGTTTTATTACAAAATTTAAGAAACGGTAATAAGCAATAAATAACAGGAAAACCTTGATTCATATATGAGCTAAAAATAAATAAAAAATAAAGTATAGTATAAAACAAAGTTTATACTACGAAATTTATATTTTTACAATAAATTTTTATTTTTAATAAACAGTACAAAACCACATTTGTTTATACTATTATATAACAATACAATGAGAATAAAATTCAAAATGGCGCACTCATTTCAACCATGCACTTAATCACATATAATGTACTTACGTCTAATGAGAATTACTTTTATTGTGATTTATATTTAAATCAAAATCTGTAGTAATTAATTCTCGTATTCCCAATTCAACGTTACTAATCAATCATCCATAATAAACTGATTTGTGCATTTCTAACCCCACGTATTGTTAGTTTAAAGGATCAGACTGACAGGTCCCTCAGAAAACCAAAAGCCTTTTCTCACACTCCTTGTGCAAAGAACGTCGATGTACAATACATATTCTTTGGCTTGTGCTTAGAAGGACTGGGCACACGACATTTCCATCTACACAAATCTGTCACATCTTGCCTTTCAACTAATTTCATACTATTTTTATAGGCTCTAGTATAGAATTGGGTGCCCTTCACTTAAATTTTGGCAGTAAAACCTCATTTCTGGTTACCACGATAGTTTTAGCTTTGTTTCAGCTTCCTGATTTTTTTTAAATGAAAATACATCAATGTATACATGGACGAAGTTAAGGCAGTGCACAATGCCTAGTTTGTGCAATTCTTTGATGTTTTTAAAAGTGAAAATAGATCGATGTGTAAATGGACACAGAGTTTGTTCAATTCTTTGACTTCTTATTTTGGTTTTGTGTAGCAGCCATCTTGAAATTGTCTTCCTGGTGCCGATCTTGGCGTCAAAAAAGAATCGCCAAAAAACATGGCCCTAATTAATGTAAACTTTTACTTTTTTATATTTAGGGCCTAATCCCTACTGACTTTCATTATATCAGAAAAATGGGGATTGCCAGATTTGGCGCAATTTCGCTTAACTTGGCGACTGTCCTGTAATCTCCAGTCTAGTCCAATTCAGAAATTTTAACAAATCTGTATAAAAGTTGCAAAAATTAATCTTGCCTTTTCATTTATTCATCTTTTGATTGTGGTAAATAAAAAATCTTTATTCCTCTCAGAAATTCTAAGAAGCGATCTCTCACAGGTAAATGAATATTTCTCTGCCACATGTACTACTCACTCGGCCAGGTACGAATCAAATTCCTTTTTTTTACCTGCGAGTACCCTTCAAACTTTTTCTTATGGCGCTCTATGTGCCCTAAATTGATTAGTATGGGAGACTGTGATTAACACAAAAGTGCATGAAACCCTTATCACTGAGGCAATCGTAAGATTTCCAACAGTCAAAAATAATAGATCTCGTCAAAATACCAAGAGCTATTTCTCACACTCCTCCTTTTGACCTTGTGCTTGGAAGGACTGGACTTCTACTGTGAAAAATCCTGTGACTTCTGAATTCATATATCTGTGGGACTTTGCCATTGATTTGCAAATGCAATTTCGCTTAACTGGCGACTGTCCTGTAATCTCCAGTCTAGTCCAATTCAGAAATTTTAACAAATCTGTATAAAAGTTGCAAAAATTAATCTTGCCTTTTCATTTATTCATCTTTTGATTGTGGTAAATAAAAAATCTTTATTCCTCTCAGAAATTCTAAGAAGCGATCTCTCACAGGTAAATGAGAATATTTTCTCTGCCACATGTACTCACTCGGCCAGGTACGAATCAAATTCCTTTTTTACCTGCGAGTACCCTTCAAACTTTTTCTTATGGCGCTCTATGTGCCCTAAATTGAATTAGTATGGGAGACTGTGATTAACACAAAAGTGCATGAAACCCTTATCACTGAGGCAATCGTAAGATTTCCAACAGTCAGAAATAATAATAGATCTCGTCAAAATAACCAAGAGCTATTTCTCACACTCCTTTTGACCTTGTGCTTGGAAGGACTGGACTTCAGACTACTGTGAAAACACTTTCCATGTGTGGGTAGCTGAACGGAGATTCTGCACAAGATGCATTTCAAACAATAAATGGACAGGAAAATAAAATGGAAAAAGTGGTAATACAAATTTATTGGACTGAATAAAAATAATCAACGTAATGCAGTTTACTAATAAATTAGCCCTTTGAAGGAGAACCCTATGTCTAATAGAGAAAGGGGAAAATTATGTGAATATTTAAAAAATTTTTTGAACCTATTATTGAAAAGCTAGGGGGAAAATGCATGAACAAGTATGATAGGCATTAATTCCCCCCATTCCGGGGCATTCCAGACACTGATTGATGTTGTATGATTGATTGAAAATCCTGACTGCTTCTATTATTATAACTAAGGTTTAATAACATTAATCATTTGCCTGTATAATTTGAATTTATGTGCTTTGTGAATGGAAGAAAATTTGCCTTGAATTTCTTTTAGAAAAAACATATACTTATTATTTTTTGGTCTTGTTATTCAGAGTTAAAGTTGGCTTATTTTACAAGAGAATAATAATTTTTCTATTTCAGATTGTCTCTTGAAGTGATGACTTTAACTCCTCTTTGTGAACATGTAGAAACAGCACAAGGTGTTCCTCTTACTGTGACAGGTGTTGCACAATGTAAAGTCATGACTCAGAAAGAATTTTTATCTACAGCCGCTGAGCAGTTCCTTGGCAAGAATGTGTCACATATTGAGTCCGTTATTCTTCAGACATTAGAAGGGCATCTTCGAGCAATTTTGGGTAATTTAAATATTTTATATCTGTTAAGTAAAAGAATGATTGGTACTTTTCCGTTTTGACGATAAAGTCGCTAATAATAGTACAACTGATGCCAAACGGAATATCCACACTAGTAACCTTTTACGCCTCATTTTCAAAACAAGTCACAGCCAATTCTCGTCAGATTGATTGATTCTGTTAAAAAGTTAATTTAATTTTTTAGTTTTTTTAAAAGTTTTATTTCAAATAAAATATCAAAATTCTGCCTACCTGTTCTTCCCGGGTGGTGACTGTATCTCCGGTACTATTCGGTTTTGAGGGCCTTAAAAAATTGCCAAACTATTGTTGATGTCAGTGCTGCCAAAAATAATTGCGGCAATCCTAATGCAAGAAAGGAAGTAAGTAAATAACTATCTAAGATTGATGTTTTAATTTACATTAAAGGTTAATTTCATATAATGCTTTTTTATTATTATAATTTATATGAAAAAGGCTAAACATGACTGAGTGGAAGCATAAGAGTAAATAACTATTTCAGATCACTATTATAATTTATATAAAAATTACTAAACATAGCTGAATAGATGCCTGCATTGCTATTTTGCTACCAAGTTATCGCAAAAGCATAATTTCATCTCGTTGGTTGTTCAAACATAATTTTCTATAATGAATGATATTTTTCTTTGAAAAAAATCTCGGTAAAGGGCAGAATAGCCCACTTATTTGATTGCCGCTTTTTACAAGGGTAAAAAAAAACTAGATTTTTGTCTTCTTTTACTTTTTAAGTGAAAATAGGTCGATGTGTACATAGATAAAGGGTGTGCACAGTGCCATTTTTGTGCAATCTGGGATTGTTTTTTTAAGTGAATATAGGTCGACGTGTACATGGATACTGAGTATGTGCAATTCTTAAAAACGCGTCAAGCAGTAGGTGATTCTGCACTTTACCTAAAATTCTATTGCAGACTTTTCGCCATGGGCAATTCCCAAATTGTTAAATCCATGGGATATCAAAAAAGGATTTAAAAATTAAGCTAGTATTTCAATGGCACCTTTAGAAATATAGAACTATATAAACTTACGCAATCTGAAATCAGTGCTCTCGCTAGATTTGGCGCACTGTTAAATGGACTGTTTGCTAGATTTGGTGCTTGTGCGCATACATTTTCGCTGCAATTTTTTTTACAGTCCTCAAAACGGAATAGTACTGTATCCCTTCGATGTTGATTCAGCATTCAATCGATGACAACAGAACTAAATGACCACACGGTTAGACTAACACTAGAATATATTTAAAACAACATTAAAATTACAATTCAAATTATACAGTCTCAAGAATACGCCATTAGCATGCCATGGAATACATCTATCTGTTTTTCTTCTGTTCGAAGTGCGTTGAAGTTAGAGAAGAGTTACAGTGTGCTTCTCACAAACGATAACAATGCCCGAAATTTTAAATCTCTGTTTTTAACACTCTCCCTTTTGAGTTTTGAGAACATTGATCCAGAACTAAACACCTTTTTATCCATATCTTGAGGGAGGTTTAACGACACGTCCAGTTCTTGTTGTAACAAGATGGAAATCGGGATTTTTTTGGTTCGTAGAAGGTTCTATTTCTAACATAGCATTCTCCACATTGGCGACATAGTTCTCACTATCCAATTCTAAAAGACACACCTGAGTTTGTGTATGGTTTGTTTGCACATAAGTAACTACCAAAGCATGCTAATAACTTAAGAATTAAATAATGAAAATTAGTAAAATTTTAAACTATTAGTTTTTAAACAGTTATATGCAAAAAAAAAAGTGTTAATACAACGGGAAAACATAATAGAGTGAAAGAGAAATATATTTAAGGATGTAAACTCTTGTTGTTTACATATTTTTCCATTAACCAATTTGATAAACACAGACTATTGCCAAATGGTGACTTAGTGCCAATAATGGGTAAGCATATATTCTTGATTCACACGAAAGGGCCCACCAGCGGCCGAGCGGTAAAGTCACTGAACACTGGTAGTTCGGTCCGAGGTTCGAATCCCTCAAATGGACTGGCTGCATGGGTGTTTTCGTGGTTTTCCCCATGTGTAACGTGTATACGAGCCAGTTTCCCTTAGAAAGTCCTCCACGAAGGCATCACCTTAGGCAGATAGCCTTCGAGGCTTTGCCGTAATTAAATAATCTAACCTAACCGTGATTCATAAGATTTTTGCTTTGGTTTTATGTAACTATGATTAATTCTCAATAAGCCAGTTTTGTTTTTGTGAAGCAAGATTTTCAAGTAACTGTCTTTTATTTTTGGAAAAATTATTAAAATTTGGCACTTGTCTTTTGTGGAACAACAAGCAGTAGAATATTTTTAAAGATATGGAGTCTTTCTATCTTATTCTAAGCATCAAGCCTTGGGAAGAATGGCATAGTAAGAAAGTGCGAAATCATGTTACACAATTTACTTTAAGTGAATTTATAAGGCTCGAATTCATAAAGTCGCTATATTTTTTAAATGTCCTGAAGAATTTTTGGCAAATATTTTAAAAAAATTGTCATATAATCTCAAAGTTTGAGCTGATATTATTTTACTTCCTGTATTTTTAATTTTGATTATATAATTAATGATCAATAATTATCTAGTGAAAGTGAGCTTAAATTTCTGCTGAAACAATTGGTGTAATCTCTCAGAATCTGTCAACTTTTATGGTCATCATATTTTATGGTAGAGGAAAATCTACAGGTACCAATATCTTCTGTAAAAATTGCACTTATTTATCTTAAGCTAAATAAACTGTGTATGAAAACGCTGTTATTTTCAACACATGCACAACATATTAACGTCTAAACTCTGGAATTGAAAGTTTTTATTGATTAGTCCATTTTTCTTTGTTTTCCATTCTTGGTATTGAAAAAATACCTACAGATGCTATTTTTGATGATCTGTCCATATTTATGATTATAAACAATCTTGCTCCTTGCATGAAATATAAACAAATAATTTATTAAATGCATTTTAATCAGATTATAATCTTTGGATTGTATCACGTATAAAAGAGCATTGATGAGCTAAATAACTAATAAATTTGCTTCAAAATAATAAATGTAATATAGTTTTGTTAAAAAATGCATTTACATACACATGTAGCAAAAATCAGGCTGATTTTTCTGAAAAATCAGTTTTATTTACTTGCAAAAATGAGCACAGATTACAGGCATTTATAGATGTCACTATTAAAGTTTTACAGTAATAACAAACATATAAAAAGTAACATCGTAAGAATTTTTCTTTTTAAATAGTGTGAGGAAGAATCGGATAAGGTAATTGGATAGGTAATTGAGATATTTTAGAACTTAAAAAAATGTGATGGACAATATTGTGATGATTTAATAAATGTGCTTAGAGATTTTAATGTACTTTTAAATATTTGGTAAATATTATATTCAGACCTGTTTAGTTGATGCTAAAGTAATCAACACCATGGATTATTATTAAAACCTGTAGCATTTGACAATAACTGACAAATTTAAAGTGATAAAAAATTTTGTAATATAAATAGAGCAGAGAAATGCTACTTTAACAGCAAACAAATTCAACTATTGCATTTAAGTATTTATTCAAAGGTCATTTTGCGATGGATTTATCACTGGGTTCTGCTTAGTCTGTTAAGTAGTTTATAGCAGAAGACAATTTGACTACTCAAAATCGTAAAAAAACAACCTTATATTTAGCGTAGGTATAATGAAACACTCAATCGATTTCGAGGGCAGCTAAAGGTCCCTCCTCATCAGGAGAAAGAAATACATAGAAAGAAGAAAATAGGAATCACAGAAACACGTGGTGCTTATCAGCACTGCACGTGGTTATAACTAGATTTTTAATCAGAGTTGCACTGGCCGCCTACTTTTACTGAGCCAGGCTGTCTGATCAAGCATAAAGAAATATTAGCGAAGTTAAAATAGGGAGCGAGGGGCAAATGCACATTACGCTCAAAATCTGAACTTCAAATAATGGAAAGCAACCACTGAACGGATTTTTATACCCTCTGGTAGTACCAAGTGCGAGGAGGTAACGCCATCTATCGGCAAAAATAATTGAATTAAGACAGTAGAATTTTAAAGGCATTAGGAAGGACTGGATTGGACTTCAAATCATTAACTAAACTTTCTAAATCTTTGTGAATGTGAAAAGCCTCAAGAAAATCCAATTCGCCTATGGAAGAAGCCTTTTGGATGATTTTTGCAGACCCAAAATCAAAATTATGGTTAAAAGTCCAGCTATGATACGCTATTGAAGACTTGTTAATTTCCCCTTTTTTTGACATAAGATTCATGTTCCTTGATACGAAACTTCAACGCTCTTTTTGTTTGGCCAATATATCTTAAACCACACTGACATGATATACTATAAATTCCCCAAGAATTCAAGACAGAAACGCAATCTTTTAGAATCGAAGGGTGAATTTTATTAATAGGGGAGAAACCGACTTGAAAATTGAATTTCTGGAGAATCCGTGCAATTTATAGCTAACAGAAGGATAAAATGGAAGCACGACAAGGTCATTGATATTATTTCTAACAGTGGAATGTCTTCTTTGATGGGAATCTGAAAATTTTTTGACGGCTTTATCAATAATCACGGGAGAAAATCCACGGTCAATCGCAACTGCTCTCAAATAATTAAGTTCATTGGTAAGCAAAGATTCAGAGGAACAAACTTTTAGCGCGCGGAAAACATAATAGTAAAATAAGCACCACGTGTTTCTGTGATTCCTATTTTCTTCTTTCTATGTATTTCTTTCTCCTGATGAGGAGGGACCTTTAGCTGCCCTCGAAATCGATTGAGTGTTTCATTATACCTACGCTAAATATAAGGTTGTTTTTTACGATTTTGATTGTCACATTAGCGTGTTTCTCTTCTAGTCTAATTTGACTACTGTTTTAAAATGTAAAGAATTTTTTAATTTGTCATGGATAAATAAAAATCCTGGAGAATTTTTATTGAACCTAATAGCATTTGCAGATGTCATTGAGCAGATTATAATTATCTTTACTTATTTTATCTTTAGACATCTTTTCATGTAGAAACAGATACTTTATAAGATTTCATTTGAGAAATATATATTGGGAAAAGTTGATATTGTATGTAAAGCTATGATATGAAGCATGGTATAGAGGTGAGATATGTAAAATTTATACTATATTCCAGTGTATAAATGCACATCTATAAATTCAAACTACATTTTTAGGTAAATTTTGCTGTATAATGACCCTTCTATTTGCAAAAAAAATTAAGATACATGTGCAATATTTTTACCTTTTGACATCATTCATTTAAATATTTTACTCAGGCTTTCAAACAATGATATACTGAATTGACGAAGCGATAAGGGGAACAATGTGTGTGGGGTAAATGGTTGGTGATAAATAATTCTGCAAAGAGGTTGCACTGTATCCAGAGCAGGTGTGCACAAGAATGTGATTCTAGTATTTTGAGAAAAAGGGTACATTTTATGAAGTAAAGAATGTACTTCCAAACCGAATGACTATGCGGAATTAGTTTTCTCTTTCTGTGGTCATTTAAAGCTCTGACAGGGTTCGTAGCAGTCCTTACAAGTGCTTATAAGTCCTTATATTTGAAAATAAAATATAAAAGCCCTTATAGGTGCTTACTTTTTATTTAAAGCCCTTTTTTTTTTGTTTTTAGTGCTTATTTTTTGCTTTTAGTGCTTTTTTTAATTAATGCGCATTTTTCCCCCGAACCAAAGCCGAAACTAAATAAACAACTTTTCTTCCTTATCTGGAACGTCAGATGTCTCGAAAATAGCTTTTTCCCCTTTCTCTGCATTAACGTAACCTATGGTGCGCGCGAGAGTACAGGACAGGTGCACGTCGTTCTATTGGTCAAAGAATTGCGAAAATCATAGAAAATTCCGGTACATTCGGTATTCTTTTCTTCCCACCCAAACACTACACGTTTGAATTTCTATCAAGATTTTAATAATTTGCATTCTCGTTCCGCATGGTCAGTTCATATTCGTGTTTATTATGATCTGCTTATATTATGAGCATATGTATGAATATTTATAATAATATAGTTGCAGTAGCTGCTGAAGTGTAGATAAACTTCCAAAAATGGTTGTATTTTTACACAGATTAGCTTTCTAAGGAATAATATTCAGAATGGCTTAAATAAAAGGAAAGTAATCGAATAGTCATAATATTTTTTTTTTTTTTTCCCCCAATACATTATACAGTATGGAGGTTGGGAGGTTTTCCTCTTCTTCCGTAAAATCTCTAATATTGAGGCAGCGGACTTTTTTTTTTTGGTCACTGTCCAATCTGGATTTGAATAGGACTAAAGTCTACCGAACCCAAGCGAAGAATTATTCTATTCCACACGGTCTGTTCAAAATTGGAATCAAAAACACCCCAGATTAGTAAGTCTCTTTCTTTTACTTTATTTAGTTCTTTATTCTCCGAATACCAGCAGCTGTTGATTCCGATTGCGTAATATCACATATGGAAGAATTACCCCTCACGTATTGCGCAATAATGTTTGTGGTATTTTGCAGAGATAATTAATTTTGATGTTCAGTCTGAGATTTGTTTATGAACACTTAAAAGAGTTTTACTGTGCTTTTTAAGCAGAATATTTCTCAGTTCCATTGGTCTATTTTTATATGATGGACATATCGAAATGTCAAAATCATTTATTTAGCCGGGAAATCTAAACAACGGCTACAATCTTCCCCCTCCTCTTTTTCCAGTTACGCTCAACTATACGGAATATTCGGCAATTTCCGAGTATGCGGGTTAGTTAATTTTACTGTTAAAGGATGACTGCATGAAGCAATTTCCAGTCTCCTGATTTCAGAAAATGTTCCTTTTTTTACTTAAATTACTTTGCTTGGAATATATGTTAAGGGAAAACTGTTATGCAGATGAAAATTTAGAAAATGTTCAGAATTTTGATTTAAGTTAATTATTTAAATATTAAATATGAAGTGGAAAAATAAATTGTATTTATTTATTCGGTGCCAAGCGAATACAATTAATATGGCTTATTGTTATTTATTTTGTATGTTTTGAACCTGAAAATTTCATTCATCATTAAATCTTGTAATATAGTTAGTTCTGCATAGTTTTTTTTCCTCTCATTGTAAACTAATTCTGTAAATTGAACTATCATTTAAAATTAAAAAAAAAAAAGTTAATTGTTTTCCATGGTTGAGGTAATGCTCATTCTCTTAATAAATATTGCATTGCTCATATTTTAAATTGAAAGTCTAATTTTTCTTTTAAGGTTATGTCGTTTGTGTGTAATGTAATTAGGCTGGTGCTTATTTTTTTTTCTTAAAATGTGCTTGAAAAGTGCTTATAAGTGCTTATTTTTTTAACTAAAATGTGGCTATGAACCCTGCCTGATTTTGAAGTGAACATCAAACACAGGGATGGAAAAGGAGGCCAAATGTGTCATGCCAGTCTAAAAATAGTGCATTGGTGGATTAAAAATTCAAGTTAAAAAAAAAAAAAAAAAATGAAAGTGATGGTGAAGATGAAACAGAATTCAATGATATATGCCTGAAGATATAATGAAGGACAAATATGGTGAACATTTCATGTTATCAGATAAGGAAATTTTTTAAATTCATAAGGAATGCTATTTCTTTTAAAGAAAGAGCTTTTAGGTACAAGCAGAAATATAATTTGGTACTTTTCCGTTTCGCCGGCGCAAATCTCGCCAAGCAGACTTTATTGGCGACAACATACAGTATACACATGAAAAATATTAAAAAAAGTGTTAGTTCTAAGAATTCTTTTTTTGAAGGCATAAACATTTTATTATCGCTCTTAAATTTTATAAAAAGCCAATCAATAAAGACAAAATTTGTAAAAAGACATTAATTTAAGAATTTACTATGCTTTTCATGGTTCAACATCCTGATTCGAGTGTTCATATCCACGTGACCCCAAGCGATCTCATCTCACGTAAACTACTCTACAAAAATCTAATGCTCTTAGTAATTATCTACATTAATTTCAAGTTAAATCTTAATTTGGAACACAAGTTTAAATGCAAGAAATATTTCAATTCGTATGAATAGCTTACTTAGAAATTTAAAAACCGCAGTGCTTAACTACTTCGCTAATGCATTTCTCATTAGAATTCATGAATTCTAATGACCTTGACTTTACCTTTTCTATATTTTCGGCTTCAGGTAAGCGCTGTGATTGCATCCTAATTGACTTAATTACCGAAATGGCCTTAGACATAAAACCGAACTATCTGATAAAAATTCTATGTAATTATATGCCAGTATTGAAAGAAACAATCAGAAAAAGCTGCGACTTGTTTTGAAAATGAGGCGTAAAAGGTTACCAGCGAGAATATTCTGTTTGGTATCGGTTGTACCATTATTGGGGACTTTATCGCTTGCGCCGGCAAAACGGAAAAGTACCATAATTTTTGTATGCTCATTTCTATATATTTAAATCTCATTTTTATACCTGACATATAACACGCACCCATAAATTTCAATCGTATATTTTGTATTAAAAGTGCATGCTATACGTCAATATATATGCTTACTCAAAATGAAGGTAAGGCTTTGGCACTTCCTTTTCATTTCATGTAATGTACTGTCATTTATTTGAATGAAATGTATAATCTAGCATATGATATAGTTATGTAAATTTGAAACTACTTTTAACATATTTTTGAAGAGTGAGGAATATATTGTAATTTTTAATTGTTTACGATTAATTTTAAATGTGTAATTTTTTTAAATACAGTATAAATGAATAGAATTCAATGTAATTAAACATTTTCCACTATTAGGACTATATGCTTATTAAAGCAATGATTATTAATATATATTGAAATATTTACTATTTATGTACTTAAATGAATTTAATAAATTAGAAAAAGTATCAATAAAGTATTTTAAATACTTTTATTGTTCCTTCCAGTTTTTGCCATTTTCTGCCAGTTTCAGTTGTCACTGGTAAGGCAAAAACTGTTTGTTGGCAAAAGGCTGACATTTTTTAGATTAGACAATAGAGAGGTATATTTATAATTTTTTTAAACATTAATAAAAGGAGAAAATATTTTACTTGCAAAGAATACTGTGCAAGATTTCTAAAATTTTTAGTAATTATGTAATTTTGTGATGGGAGTTTTATTTAATAATATCTTTCTTTAATCCAGGTACACTGACAGTTGAAGAAGTGTATAGAGATCGTGATCAGTTTGCGACTCTTGTGCGAGAGGTTGCAGCTCCGGATGTTGGTCGCATGGGCATTGAAATTTTGAGTTTTACTATCAAAGATGTGTTTGATAAAGTTGAATATTTAGCATCTCTAGGAAAAGCAAGAACTGCTGCTGTAAAGCGAGATGCTGATGTTGGTGTTGCTCAAGCCGAGAGAGATGCTGGCATTAGGGTACATTACAATCTTTTTAAATTTGGTCTTATTTTTGACTTTGTATTTAATGATAAATTTTATTTATGAAATTTATCATTTACAGGAAGCAGAATGTGAAAAATCTGCCATGGATGTGAAATATGCAGCAAATACCAAAATTGAAGATTCACATCGTATGTTCCAGCTTCAAAAATCTAACTTTGATGCTGAAGTGAACACTAAGGTTTGTACTCTTAAGTTTTATTATACAGTACAAAGTCTTTAATCCGTACTCGTCGGGACTTCAGCGATTCCAGATTAGGGGTTTTTCCGGATTATAGATCAATTTAAATCTGGTAAGATGGCATGCAGAAATTATAAAATTAAAAATATGAAACCGTAATTTATGAAAATAAAGAGCAATTATGATCTAAAGGGTATCAAAATTTACCAAAAAAAAAAAAAAAAGCTTAATATTTATTTGTTTACTTTATTAAACATTTTTTTCAATGTAAGTTGTTTAAGTTGCTTCATTTTTTGTGCTAATACTTTCTCTTTAATTTTATAAGCAGACATAATTTCTTGTTCAGTTCCACTGTTCAAGTCCTGTAATTGCTGTGTCGAGAATACTGATTAACTTGTCAATCGAAGTTTTTTCTTTTTCAATAACCTTTGTCACTTTCTTCACTATCGGAATTTTTACATCGAAACATGCTTTCGTTTTATAGATCCTTTGGCAGCTTCAGAATCAGAAACGTTTTGACATAATTGAAAGTTCAAGCTTACTTTTTAAAATTGCTTCAACAGTCTGCAAAAAATAATAAGCCGGATCCAATTAGAAGATTAAGGAACAACACAATCTGCAACATTAACTGAAATAGATATTTTTAGCCTAGCTTATACCGTCCGTTATACATCAAACGCGCATGCATAAACGTATTATGTGCATGCATAAACACATTACGCATGCACAGAAAGTTTGTAGCTTTGAGGTCTGGATTATGGACGTCTGGATCAAAGACTTTGTACTGAATTTAAATAATTTCACTTTAAGAATTTTTTATGCAAAGCATGTATAGTTTGTGAATGTATTAAATCTATGTAATTTTGCTGTAAAAGTTGCTACATTTTCTGTCTTAATAGGCCTTTTTTTAAAAGTTTGCTCTTTTCATATTTCTATCTAGTTCATTTTTGTGACATTTTCTATAATTGCAGTTTTTGGTGAAAATTTGCATTTTGAATAAATGTGGAATTCTTATTATACAGTTGATAATAAGGCCATAATAGACTGGTATTATTGAATTTTTGTCAATATCAAGCAACGATATTGAATGGAGATATTAAATTTGATATTGAATAATGGTAATCTCCTGATAACTACTTTCAAGGGTTTAACTTTCTTCTGGTACATCACATAATGCTGAATATTATTTTAAGCTAAGTAAGAAGTTATGTTTCAATGATCGTCAATAAATTGAGGGGAGGTATCAAGGGACAACTTATTGACAAAGTCACTGAATTTAATCAGGGGTAATTACTTTTATTATCAACATTGCTGGAATCACTAAGTACATTAAAAATACTCACATCCAGGTCAAAAAAATTTTTGCTTAATTTGGTGGGGTGTGTGGTCTTTCTCGGGGAGGTAGAACCATCTTTATCCTGGATACATTTTTTAGTAATCAAATTCTTTATCTTTCAGCAGAACAACTTTCAGACATTTTCTACATGGCCACTTTAAGAAGATACACAATTTTAGTACACGGGTCTGCATACTTACAAACTTTACTTGAACTAAGGTGGATGACTAGTTGCTGACCTCAGTAACATCAGCAACTGATAAACTTACAATCTGTGCACGTACTGTATTCAAATGCAGGTTCTTATCCTTGTCTGGGTTATCCTTAACATATTGGTCCATGGCAACCATTAATTTGTATTCAAGTGAATTTTTGAAGAAAGTCCACTGCATTGAATTTTGTCTGGTGCATCATAATCTTCAAGGTTTTGTGCCAATAAAAATAAACCAACTACAGCATTGATGAAATCTTATTTTATTGCATACCTCTTTCACGAGTAAATCCCTTAACAGTTCATCCGTATTCATTTTCATAAGAAGCATCCTTGAAGAATCAAAGGCCATATTTAAATTGTCAGAGTGATATTCAGTCACAGTCCGGATCACTAACCATGTCCATAATAATACATTCAAAAATCCGTGTAATTCAAGAGCACCAGGTCACTCTCAGTAGAAAGCACAAGGTCATGCTCAAAGGAAAAGCACTTGCATGTACCGCAATAAAAATTCTGAAAGCAAGAACAGTGGAAGTGAACTTCCAGGAAGTCAATTGAAGACTTTCATAGATATCTTTTAGTTGAAGAGAGTCTTAGCATTATAAACCTTTAGATTTTTCATTTTTTCTGTTATTTGCAAGTTGTTAATAATCCAACAGTAGTGCTGTTCAGCATTGGCTTTACTAAAAATTACGTTGCATTTTGATATAAGCAGATTGAGTCAGTCTGAATTGCTAACCATGTTCATAATAATGCATTCAAAAATCTGTGTAATTCAAAAGCACAAGGTCACCCTCGGTAAAAAGCACAAAGTCATGCTCAGAGGACAAGCACTTGCATTCACCATAAGAATTCTCACACCAAGCACAGTGGAAGTGCATCTTCACTGACCAAGGCCAATCAAAGACTTTTTAGAAATTCTAGGAGACTTTAATAGATTTGATTTAGTGGAAGAGATGTGTAGAGATTTAAAGTCACAGCATTGTAAATTTTTAGATTTTTCATTTTCCGCATTATTTGCAAGTTGTTAATAATCCTACAGTAGTGCTTTGCATTGGCTTTAGCAAAAATTACACTAGATATTGATTTAAGCAGATTTGTAAATACAAGGTGAGACCGAAAATTAAGGTAACTGATGTCATAATAATGACTGTGTTATATATTTACTTATAAATACATCACTGTCCTTCAAAGTAATTCTCGCCATCTACAGTACATTTCTGACTATGTTCATACAAGTTCTGGAAACTCTTGAAAAAGTTCTCCTTTGGGACTTTTTTGGTTAAGTTTCTTGGTAACAGCAGCTTGAATGTCTGAGATGCTTGAAAATCAGTGTCGCTTTAGTGCCAATTTCAGTTGTGGGCTCTTGAAATTGTAAAACGTGGAAAACCATTCACTGATGGAGAAATGATCAATGAATGCATAATTGCAATAACCAAAGAAATGAGCCCCGAAAAGGTAAATTTACTCAAAATTGTCAGATTGTCAGCAACCACCATGTTCTGAAGGTAGAAGACATCACAGAAAATATATCATCTCAACTGTGATCAAAATGCACATCTTGAGTGGTTTTCTCTGGCCTTGGCTGAGTCAACGGATGTGTCAGATACTGCTCAGTAGAGTGGAGTGAAAAATGGGGGTGGGAAATTCAAATTTTATTATTTTCTGACCAAACAAATGGTTCTATTCGATGAAAAAAAAAAAACAGTAAAAATTTTTACCTTGATTGCATATAAGCTTTTATAACATATTTGGCAAGTAGCTTCAAGTTGTCTACTGGTTTGGTGGTTGATACATAAAGGCAAAGAATTCTGTTAACTGTAGTGAGTTTATCTTGAGTGGATCATCTTCCCAGGACTCTTGTTTTGTAGGGCACTCTCCGCGATTGTTAGCAAAAAATCGTGATTACATAAATCTCATTAGTATTTTTTACAAGTGGACACTTGTCATTAAGCTTTACTTAGCAAGTAAATAAAACCAAGTTATTATTATTCCATGTTTTTTATCCAACTTATACCAACGACAATAAGTCATTAGCTGTCGCGGCCGAATTGATGATACTGGCGGGCCGGATTTGGCCCATGGGCCATAGTTTGGAGATGCCTGTTGAACAGTGCTTAATTGGGGATGGTAGGGGGAACCTCTCTATATTTTTTAATGACTTGTGATTAGTGCATTATCATTAGCTATGAAACTACTAGTTTATATTAATATGTATTTACAATTGTTTTTAGAAAGCAGAAGCACAGCTTGCTTATGAGCTACAAGCAGCCAAAATGAAACAAAAAATACGTAGTGAAGAAATAGAAATTGAGGTTGTTGAAAGAAGGAAGCAAATAGCTATTCAAGAAAAAGAAATCCTTCGGAAAGAAAAAGAGTTGAGTGCTACTGTGAGGCTTCCAGCAGAAGCTGAAGCCTTTAGAGTTGAAATGATTGCTCAGGGAAAAAGGTAAGCAACATTGTATTGATAACTCTCTTTTCATCACATTTCATGGTAGAATGCAGAATATCTTCAATTGTCAGTTCTTTTTTTTTTTTTAAGAAAAATATTTTCTAGCAATGAATAAAATTTTCAAATTAATGTAACATTTAAGTTATGCAAGTTCTATTGCCTGACCTCTAAGAATTCTCAGTACATTTTTTATTAAATTTTAGTGGATCTGATTTCTTTAATTTTGTATTACATCAGCTTGTGGTACATTGCTAAATTGATCCACATGATAGTCTATACATTATTAATTTTATTTTCACCATATTTTAAAGTACTTTGGTAAACAAAAGCTTTCCTTTCTTGCTCAGTATTTTCTCAATATAATCTTAAGAAAAATGTTATGTTCTGGTTAAGGTTTTTATGCCTTTAATTAATCTACATGCAATAGTTGTAGAATTATTAACAATTTAAAGTTCTTTAAGTGGAACTAAGCTCTAAGCTCATTTGTTTATATTTGAAACTAAGTAGAATAGTGAATTAAGTCAGTTTGTGTATCAACTTCAGTGTCTTTCTGCTAAATGGGACACATACCAAAAGTAAACATTAATTTTGTGCACAGGAAAATTTGTTTTCCTTCCTGCTGGCCAAATTGCTTGTTTTTTGGTACAATCTCTAAATTTAATTGTAAATATTTTTAAAACTGTTTTTAACTGTATTTGGTATTTTGTTTTCTGTATATCACAATTTTTAATGAAGATGCTTTGAGTTTTTATATATTGCTGACAAAATGAGAACTAAATTAATTGAATAAGAAATTCTAATGAAATTCAAGGAAAAAAAACGAAATGCAGCAAAAATTTAATAGGCCATACAAGGAAGTCATGTGGTATCCATGTCAGATATTTTATATTTCAAGTTTGGGAGTTATGTAATTAAATGAATATTTTATTTGCAGTGAAACCTCCTTAAAATGATCACCCACAGTTCTAGCTGGTTGTTGCTCTAGTCTGTAAAAAGGGTTGTTGTAAGGGTTTTGTTGAATGCCGAAGTTTATACATTAAAAGTTCAATTACCCAGAAACCTGGGGAAATGCAGAATGCATGAAAATTCTAAATAGTTCAGAATGTAAAAAATGCAATTTATGGTAGAAAAGCCAAAGAATTCAAAGAAATTTTCAGTTTAAATTTAGTAATTTTATTTGTTATCAACATGGATATTATAAGCCTACATTTATGTGCAAAATGCTTTTCAGATATAAAAGCTGATGTATTTTTTCGTAAGTCCTGACATATGAAAGAAAAAGCAACTTACCTGTTATGAAATCCTGTCAGCCATGAAAGTTGGTGGAAATACTACAAAACTTACACCAGTCATTTCAGTAGAAGTTTGTCATTAGATAATCAAGAAATAAAAGTTATGATCTAGCATATAAAAAACTTAAATTACTTGTCATAATTATTCATGTTACATTGCCCCCTTTTTTTTTCTGCTTTTAAGTAAAGTTACAAATTGTATTCATTAATGCATACTTTTCTTGATGTCTGAATTCTGGGATTTTGTATGCACTCTACTGCATGCTATTGAGTATGTAAATGGGCTACTTGCATGGAGGAGTGTTCATGTTTTTTTTTTTTTTTTTTTCCATGTATAGTGTAGATGTGAGCCAGTTTCAATTAAATTCTCCATGAAGGCATCCCTTTCCATGCACAGATAGCCTTTGAGTTGCTTTGCCATAGTCCATTTCCTAACCATTTTGGACAGGCTTTGAACTTTATTCATTTTTTTTCAAAATGCAAAGGAAAAAACACAACAGCCTTTATAAAAACTAAATTGGTTTTAATTACTAAATTAGAAGTAGTTTAAAGTAAAAATCTTTTAATTATATCTTAATGTCATGCTTATCCATTATTGACATTAAATCATGCTGTTTGGCTATAGTTTTAGTTTGTTCTGAGTAATAACCCTATACATGTTTTATGATGGCTTTATGTGTTTCTCATTGTATAATTTTTCATTAAAAATTTTTTTGACATTTTAAAATATACTGTTAAATTTTAAAATATATGCCAAGGTAATCAGGCTTTTACTGTATTTCAAGAAATATTAGTAACTTTTGAAGATGGTTCTTTGTGAATGATTTCACTTTATTTGCCCGTTTAAATATACTCTAAATATTTTTTCTTTTTAAATTTATGATTGTTTTAAGTCTTGTCTTCTATGATAATATATATTGTATAAATTTTTACTTCATTTAAAATGCAAAATGAACTTTTGTCGTATTACTGTATAATTATTAGTGTTACATCAAAATAAACAACATCAAAATAAACATTGTTGAAAAGAATAAGTATGATTGATTGGTTCTAAAACTGTTGTAAAATTTGGAAATCTATTGCAAATATCTGGAGATTCATAGATTTGTAATACAACAGTACAGTATTAAAAAATGAAAGCTTTTGATAGCTCACAAATCAGCTTCCTTGAAAGAGAATTAAGGATGCTGTTGATCAACTGTAAATAATTGCATGTTAACTGATATTCAGTTTATTTTCACTTTTTTATAAAAGAATATCTCTGCCTTGGTCATATGTTAGTATAATTTCATTGTATGTGTAATTTAAAGCCTTGTTCAGTTTTATCTTTTATTAAATACGACTTTCTTTACACTTATTGCACACAAAATTTATAAGCCAGTTCACTATTTTTAAAGTAGCATATCTTTAGAATTTAAACTTGAGTGTTGGCATACATCTATATTTCTTTGAAAAACAATAGCAATAACATTGCATTCAAAGCAGAGAGAAAGGCAAATATAGAAACAGAATTTATTTCAAAATATTTTTAAGGAATTTTTTTATAATTATATGCATTTTTATTTTATTTATTTTTGTTAGAACACAAACCATGGATGTAGCAAGGGCTGATGCTGAAAAAATTAAAATGATTGGAGCTGCAGAAGCATATGCTATAGAAGCTGTAGGTAAAGCAGAAGCTGAGCAAATGAGGATGAAAGCAGCTGCCTATAAACAGTATGGTGATGCTGCAGTTATGAGTTTAGTACTAGAATCATTACCAAAGGTATTTATGTGCAGTTTATGTTTTTGTATTCTGTATACATAGGAAAAAATGAAGGGAAAACTTTTGAAAATTTGGGGGAAATTCTCTCTCTAAAATTTAGTTTATTTCAACTGAATTAGTTTCCAAATTATAACTTACAAAATAAATAATGCACATTTAATTTTACCATTACTGTGAAATGATGAAAGAAAAGTATGCATTTCAATTGTGAAATTGTACCTTTAACTTCTTAAGATTTAAAGGGTATTTAAAAATTTTTTTGTTATTCCTCAAATGTTGTTCCTTTCTTGCTTTTCATTTTGGGCAAAACTCAGTCAGTGTAACTTCATTTTCATGGTTTCTTTATTTCATGTGTGATGTTTAAGATTTTATATATTTTTAGCTTAGCTTTAATATCTTAGCTGTTTTATTTTGGTTTTGTTTTTAGCTTTTCTAGAGTTTAATGGCAAAAGTGTTAATTTTGATCTATAATAAGAATTAGTTATGGATTATTTGCGACCAGAGTTTTTCTCATTTTATTTGTTCTTGCATTTTAAATGTCGTATTGAGCATACTTTGTATGAAAGATAACGAAAAAATTATAAATTCAAAGAATATATTGTTATACAAGAATTCTATTTAGATCTCCATCTCTATCATCTGATGTCTGGAAGTTGGTCCAATTACTGAGTTCAAATTTCCACTTAGTTGTAAATATTTAAAATTTTTAATCATGGAATCTAGCTAGAATCATGCAAAAATGGTATTAAAGGGATATAAGGAAATTGTAAAGCATGTGAAATTCACTGTATGCATTTAGATTTGTCTAGGTCAGATATACTAAAAAATCATTCTTTAAAAAGATCTTGTGTATGTATTTTATAGGAGGTTACTGTGAATCATAGACAAATAATTTCATTTTCTGCTTTTGTTGCAATCTCAATTTTTAAAGCAAGAACATATTCATCTCGCTGTGAATTCTTAGTTAGGATAGCTTGTCATAATTGTTATAATGATTAAGTAATTAATAAAATTTTCTTTATAAAAATCATTTGTAATTGCCTTCAAAAATCTTATTATTTATTATAATAGATTCAAATAGAATATTTTTAATATTGAAAAAATGGCACGTGCTAATGAAATATATATAGATTTAGAAAGCAATATATAGCTGTAATTGCACATCCTGGACCTAGTATATGCAAAAGAATGTAAGTTTAGTTTATATATATTAGAGCTGACATAAAAAATAATTTTACACCGTTACTTAGCTGCTGGTTATAAAACATATGATTTTCTTACTGGTTGGATTCTTAAACTCTCAGTAATGAGACATGAAATTTTATGTTTGATTTTATGTTTGGTTTGGAGTTATTTCAGTGTTACCTTTAACTAGTTCACGAGAAGAGTTTTATATCATAACAAACTTCTTAAGTGTCTCTTCTTCCATTATTTCTTTAAAAAGCAGAAACTGTATGGATGGTTGTGTTCATGATTTCAGTTTTAATTTGATATTTTCATTAAACTTACATTTATAGATTATTTTCTTTTATTAAAGATTTCGGGCTACATTATGTTCTCATTTAAACATCTTTGTTTCTAGATCTAGTATCACAGTTTACATAGAGCTATGAAATAGTTTTATTTTAACCCTTTGGTGGTTGTATGATTAAGCATTTCTAGCTTCCCAAATATGTGCTGTATCTGTCAGTTGTAAATATAATGCGAGCTGTGTTCATTTGTACATGATTAGAATGCAAGTTGAGCTCGTTGATAACCATCAAAAGTTTAATGATTTGTTAATTTGCATTGCTTAACATTCTTCTCTTTAGCTGATGGTCATTATATGCTTTATCATTGCCAGAGAAATAAGCAAGCAGCAATCTGTTAGCTTATGTTCCAAGTTTTTATTCATTTGTAGGTTGTCCTTATAAGTCTTTAGTATCTTATCTTTATATACTTTATTTTCCTTCATTATTTCTTTTGTTTAGCTAAAGTTCAGAATGAATTTGATGAATATATAAATTCTCTGATACATATTGCAATAAAGGAAATATTTATTTAGATTGCTGCTGAAGTTGCTGCACCTCTTGCGAAGACTGATGAAATTGTTTTGATTGGAGGTGAAGACAAAGTAACGTCTGAAGTTTCAAAGTTAGTCAGTCAGTTGCCACCAACAGTGCAAGCATTAACTGGTGTTGATTTGTCTAAAGTAAGTTTTTGATTTTATCATATTTCTGTCATTTATGCTGTAAAATAAAGTACCAAATCCATTTTTGAAATTTAATTTTTAAAACATTCAAATATCAGAATGCCTTAGAATCCAAAATAAAAAAATTCAGATATGAATGTTTATCCTAAATCTAAAATAATTCAGCAATTATTCTGAATCTAAATTAAATTTAATAGATACTGTAGAAATAATGCTCTGGGAATTTCAAAGCTTCGTAAGAAAAGTCGCATAAATTTTTATGTTTTTCATCATCTTAAAGCAGTGTAAAAATGATAAAATCAGTACTTTCTTCCATTATTTTTAAAGACTTGGGATAAGTATTTAACTGTATAAACTGTCAAGCTCATCTGATGATGAGTTAGCAATTTTATTCTTTTAATTCTTTGTAGTTTTATATGCTAGGTATTAAGTAGGTAAATATTCTTTTGAATGACAATAAAATTTATCAACCTTGTCCTGTAAAAGCAACAAAAATTTGAAGGAATAAATAATTTTTATTAAACTAGTTTTCATGTATTTTCAAGACATTGCTTTTCATGTGGTTTTTAAAAAACAAAGAAATGTAACAAATAACTGTGTTAAGGATTTAATCCCTATTGCTAATACATTGGAAGCAAATAATTCACTGCTTGTACTACTAAGGTTTCCAGATTTCATAGTACTTAATGCTCCCTTAAAGAAAGCTGTTTGAGATTTTAACAATGATCACATTATTTACTCCAAGTTTAATTATTAAAACTGTAGGTGTTCATAGGTTTGTGAAAACTCTTTTTACTCACATTGGGTGAATTAATAAAAAGCAGGCAATCCTGCCATCTTCCCCCCAATTTTTTTTTTTTTTTATTTTACTTAATCTCTTATGATTAACATATAAAATTTATTAGCAGTGAACATGTCTGAAAAGTTTATTTATCCATACATTATTTAATAATTTTATTAATTATCTCACATTTTAAGTTAACATCGAAGAATTTCAGTTTGATTTTTAAATTCATTCTTAATTTCTCTTATCAGCTGTGATTATTTATTTTAGGTTGTGAACAAAATTGTAGCCACAAAGTAGAAGGATTTGGCATAGCACACCCATCTATGTAACATATACCACAAAGGATAACTCCTCAGGCTGCATTTTTTGCCTCAAGCATTATTTTCTTGTATATAGAATTTTAAGTATTTGATAAGAATTGCTGTTTTTTTATTCCAGTTTACAATACAATTTAAGAACTAGAATTAATTGTAATACAAACTTGTATTTGCTCTTGTTAATATTCACAGTCACTGTCATTTTATTTTACTGCGCCTATGAGATTCGAATGTACTTTTATAGTTGTTAATGATCCAATTGATTGTTTCATAACCATACTTCTGCTTTTTTGTCTGCTTTATGTGCTGTTGATTTGCAACGTGAAATCAATAGGTTTCGAGAATTTTACTTTGAATCATGATATAAAGTAAATTTTAAAATTGTGACTTTTGTTTTTTAATTTTAATTTCCTTGAAGTAGATATCAAATATTTTTTTAAAAGAGGATATTTAACATTGATTGTTAAATTGATGAAACAGATCAGCATTATGTATTACGTTTATCTTAGAAAAATTTTTTGAATTTTCAAAATGTGATTGCTAAATAGTGGGCTCGATTTAAACCTCCAGTCAGTTTAGTTTTTTTACTAAAATAAATATGATTCAATTTGCCTTTGATAACTTGATATTGTGGTACTTAAATAGACATACATTTGTCTTTTCAGGAATTTTGTACTTAGATTGAAAACTTTTTGGCCTTGCACAACATATATATATATAAATACTCGTATCCACTAAAAAGAATTAAGTTTTTAACGGATGTGAGTATTAAAATAACTTCCAGATGTGACCTTTTTAAGATTCGTTATTAAGGATTATGAAAAGAATTTGAATCTTGAGTGAAAAAATACAAATGTTCAGGAATGAGTTTGCCAATAACTGTTATATATATATATTGATAACATTGCCTCTGCAGGTGCTAGCAAATGATTGATACATAAAGTAGCAGGACTAATTTTAAAAGAAAATAAATGAGTAGTACAAAAATTTAATAAATTTGTGTTCAACCATCAATTTTATTTAGTAATCACATTGTTGTGTAAATTGGAATATATAGCTGAATCTTTTAATAAATATGTGAACTAATCTTAGTGTTTTAAACAATGCTTTTTTCTCTATTTTTAAAAATATGTTTTTAATATATATGTTACCATGAAAGGAGCAAAATCTGGAGAATGTCAACATTCACACAGTCAATGTCTGAAATATTTTCTAAATATCTGTATTTCTCACTCTGCAAGTGTCAACATTCACCGAATAAAAATAATTTGGATTTATTTTCAAGTTGTACTTCATCATTAAAACACATTATAATATGTCAAAATAGGAGAAGGCTTAAGTAACAGCAAATGTAAATAAACTGTTGAAATGAGAAAAGGAAATAATGCCAATAACAAACTTTACTTGATTATATGATTGATATTATACAGTGTTATTTATTGCAGCATGTGCAAGAGCAATTTGCTTTTACAATGCCTCTCTGTCTTCTTGGCTTTTCATTTTGATCTCCACTAGAGTACATCTGTGCTTGTCGACATTCACTGGTGAAGGTCTGAATGTATTAGAATATAACCAAATATTTAGTCTTTCACTGAAGTATGTGTTGACATTTATTGGAGAATGTTGACATTCTTCAATTTTTTGCAATTCTGTATAAAAACCTTTAATTTCAGTGAATAACTTAAATGCTTTTTTTTTTTTTTTGTCTTATCTCACACTACTGCATTTTTCTTCACAAGGGGTAAAAAATCTTTAGTTTTTGTTATGAAAATTTCTGATACATGAATAATTTCCAAACAATTTATATAGATAAATGAACATACATTTTAATACAAAGTGGCCTGTGAAAAATTAGCACACCTTTTAGTAATATTGACTAAATGAACAAAATTAATCACTTGCGCTACGGCTAAACTTCACGGTTGCGGTGCCCTGCACTGCAATATAACAATATAACAAGTGGTAAAGTGTCTCATTTACGCCGCTCTGCATCTGCAAATGCAATCCAGAGCTGTAACTCGAGAAATAAACAATCTTGTTGTTAGGCGACGTGTGGACCACGTTATTTTCATTTTTGCGCACGGTTTGAGACAAAAGCATCTCAACGTGCTTGTCACATCTTTTTAGCGCAAGTGGTTAAGCTGGAACACTGCTTTATATGCTATCAACTGTACAGACAAACGGTCAGCAGACAAAACAAGGGGCTGTGGGCTATTCCAAAGAATGTTGTACTAGTATTGAAGATATGCTACTTTTTTTGAGCAGCCCTGTATTTTAATAACAAAACCATTAAAAGTTGATTTAATAAGAAATATATTTTATTCTTGAATAAAATGCAAAATGTAGCAATTAAAAATAATATTGATAATTTGATATTCCTTCTAAAATCACTTGGTGATAATGTTTTATAATTATGTGAAAGAATATCATGCTACATTCATATTTCATATGGAGATACCTTTCTCGAATAGTTATTGTTGTTGTCTGATTTCACTTCCTTGTTTTAAATCTGCACACTAAATTTTCACATGTAAAAAGTATTAACCTATATCTCAGTTTAAGGCAAACTAACACTTTCATACCTGCATTTTTCTTATTAGAGACTTTTGCTTCAGAAACTTCCATTTTTATCAGGTTTAAGTAATTTGTTGCATTTGTAATAAATTTGATGGACTGGAATAATTCAGTATTTGATGACACAAATGAGCATATATTTTTAAACAGACTTTTTTTGTTCCTATATTAATGTTGGATTATTACCATAATATTCTTAAATTCATAAAAAAATTTAATAGATATAATTATTTTTCTCTTAGACTATTGGTCTGAAATCTAGTCTGAAGAAATTTTTTGCCAAAGTTAAGAGTGCCATTTTATAGTGATATCAGTATTTTCCTGTCAGCCCAAATAAGTCTTTATTTATATGGTTATGGATTTAGTGATAAAAATGGCTAGTCATGCAATGTTTGTTGCAGATGGAGAAGGCTTGCGCGTTATAACATATCAACACTTTTTGAACTAATTAACATATTTGAGTATTTCAACCTTTCAGGGCAGGTTAATATTAAATAATTATTATCTATGTATCTTAACAATTGGTATAAATCTAGAATTTTTTTTTAAATTGCAATTTGAAGTTAATTTTTCTATCATACTAAATTTGGTTATTTGCATGATATCTCACTGTATATATGTGTGTTGGTTGCATATATGCTTCAACATATTTGCACAATTAAGATCCTATTTTGTGTTGATTTTCCTGTTTGACTATTTTGAAAATATTGAAACCTTGTTTAAAGCAGGCAAGCTGAAGGAAAATTTTAAAATAAGTATGTCGTCTTTCAATATTTTAACAGAAATGTAGTTATACTCTTCTTTGTTTTTGTGTATTGAATAATTTTGTGAAGAGAAATGTAATCATATTTAGTTGATCGCTTAAATACTATGCAAGTGTAATTTTTATACATACCTTTTACTGTGTCTTGAAATAAGTGTTTTAAAAATGTGTATAATACTAAATTGGTTCTTTAACTGAATTTTGTCTTAGAATGAAGGATGAGAGAACACATTAATGGCAAATCCATAATCAAACACTAAAACCAAAGCCTGCAGTTTTCAGGATGACTTTCTAAATTTTTTGGACTTTCCTTTAAAATATGTTTTTATTTTAAAACATTCATGCTATAGAATGAAGTATAGGAAAAGAGGCTATAAAGAGGCATATAAAAATAGCTGTATAAAAGAACTTGCTTGCATTTAATCCAAATGCTAACACTGCCATTGTTTCTGAACCTCTATACTTAAAGATAACCAACACCCACTACCATAAAATAAAATTTAATTTTTGACTTTTATTCCAACTGCAGTTAATTGTATTATACCAAAGAATAGCTATCGTGCAAGTTTAAATTTTGAAATTCTACAACGGTGCCAGATTATTTGATTTAAGTTGAACTTTCAAATAGACTTTAATGTTACATATTTTAATAAATGGTTGTATTTTATATTAACAGTAGTTTCATCAAACTTTTAATCTATCATTTTATTTTGTTGTAAATATTTGTTTTTATTAAGTTCACTGTATGTGTGTGTATATATATAAATAGTTCAAAAAAAGATGTTTCATTTTTTGTCTTATTTTATGAATTTTATTTATGTGGGAATTTTCTGATATCTCAATTTTGCTAATTATTTTTTATAAATGCTTTATGAAATGTAGACGATGCTATTTTAATTTCTGTGCTTTCTGCTAAAGGACCACATTCGAATTCCCTTGTAAAGAATGTGTGACAATCATCCTATTTCTGCCGAAATGAAGACAAAGCATTTGATTAGTTTGTAGTATTTTTAATACTGTAGTATGTAATTTCATTATTTATTGTACAAGAATATTTTGCTAATAACACAGCTGTAACTTTGCACACTTAAATTTGTTAACTTTTTAATATATTGTACTGCATTTTTTTGGGGAGGGGCAAAAAGCTGCATGAAAATAAGTGATTTATGTTAATATGGAATACACAATCTGGAAACTTTTGTAGAATTTTTATATGCTTTTAAAATTTTCCTATTTTGTTTATTAAGAAACAAATGAATGATCTGATTTCTTTTCTAGAATAAAACATCTTGTTAAGACCTTCATTACTGAAACACATTTCAGATTTTCAGTTTAATGTACAGTGCCTTTTAAATGTCTTATATGTGTGTGTATGTATTCCTGAAAGCTGGTAAAATATATGCTTCTTTATAAGTGTAGTTTTTTTAACTTTATTAGATTTAAAAAAAATATTTGCCACTTAATACATGTTAAAAACTTTATTCATCATTTTCATACAAGACTACTTTCAAGGAGGTATTTTATAATGCTACACTGTAAGTAGGAATTCTTGGACAAGGCCATTTGAAAGAATATCTGCATAAGGTTTCATTAATATATATTTCAGTAGAATAACTTTTTATATAGTCCAGAAAAATGGCATTTCCATTAAATTAGTTATTCAAGCTTATAGCATTTTTAGTTATTTGCAGTTAAAAAAATAAGATTATATACATGGCATTTAAAAATTGCTTTAGTTTTCAGAATAATTCATAGTTAATTTTCACTACAATGTAGATAGCTCAGGTTTGATATTAAAGGTTGCCTTATACTAAACAATCACTATCAAAAATTATTTTTTTTTTATTTGTATAAATTATTTAGGGTGTTTTGAAAACCTGAATGTCTAAACAGCTCTTAAAAGTTTAGTCATAAATCCATGGTGTCAGTTTAAGAAACAATTCACCTGAGAAAGGCCTTAAAATTATGATAGTTTTCCATATAGGACTTCTGTAAAGAAAAGTCTGTAAGCTGTTTCCTATGAAAGATTTTTTTTTATATGAAAACATGTCCGTAACATACAAAATTAGCCCTTTGGGAGGAGCTGTCATAATTGATTTAAAGAAAAGATTGGAAAAGATTTAAATATACTAGGGGTCATACAACACTGAATTTTATTAGGTACAGAATTTTTGGATTTTAACATCCTCTTCTGATGGGATTTTGATATTCTTGCTTAAGAACTTTCCATGTCATGTTAGAGTTTTGCATTAAAAAAGTTAATGCAATACTAATAATTGTTGTACAAATTAAAAACTCGATCTGCATTGCAATTATTAGTACTATTTGTATGTAGACCCAGAAAGTTTTAACTAAAGATATCTTGGTAATTTTATTGTTTTTTCTCCAAGAGATCTATTTAAAAAATTTAATTTTTGCCGAAAGAGGTTGGGTTATTAAATTTTTTCTACCGAGAAAGTCTACTTTATTTAATTTCCTTTTAATTTCGTTCTGTGAGTTACCATTTATTAGATTTATTTGTGCAGTTTTTTTAATACATGTAAATAAATTTTAAATGATCTTACAAATGAGAATTCTTTTTGAAAAAATATTGTATATCTATGGCTATTAAATCTGGATGATACATTAGGTGTAACTACAAAAGGAAACAAGTATTTTCAGTCACTAATGATTCATATTTCCTCTTAAGTTATGTTTGAAATGATGAGAAGTTTTTCATTTGGCAGATTGTCCTCAGGAACAACCCTCCCCCCCAAAAAAAAAAGTATGGTTTTTTTTTTTTTTTTTTTTTTTTTTTTTCCCATCTGCTGTGAAAAAAATTTTAATTTGCAGATGGCATTTTTGAATTAGGGGTGGTGCCATTTAAAGAATAAAAGTTGAGTTCATAAGTTATTTGAAATTGGTTGAGTGATATATACAGTAAACTCCCAATTAACTGGGTAGCAGTTAACATAGGAAAGAGGAATATTGTGTTCTATAAATGAGAGAAAAAATGGTATTGTTTATATAATTTATGTTTCTACTGAAGGCAGTGGGCAAAATCAATATCTGAACAATTTATGATTTAACAATTTATTTTAAATGAATGTGTACAATTAAATTATATGGTTATGAAATGAAACCAATTCTTAAATATTGTGATGTCATGTACTATCACTGTTGTTATCCCTTGCTTTCTTTTTCTACAAACATTTAGTTTTCTTCTGATGATGAGATAATAGATTTTTGTTTTACAATAAACAAATTTAATACTTTTTAAGCCCCGTTCACAACAGCAGATATGACCAGTAACAAAAACCGGTTCTTCCAACGTGTCCCATTCACATGGGACAAGCATTAACTGCCTTGCCAAATTGGAGGTAGAACTTGGTTGAATGTTCCTTACCTCTCGGAAGCAGGGCAAATGGGGAGATTTCCCGTACTATACTGCGCGGTTCACTTAATTTTAACAAACAAATGTTTAGTGAAACTACTGCTCGCTGGACTGTCAGCGAAACAATCGCGCTGGTAGATATCTGGAGATGTGACAGCATCCCCCCAAAATTAGATACAACTGTACAAGATACGGAAATTATAGGCAAATACAGACAAGGTTTTCTAATGCTAGGTATTCCAGAAATATCGTTCAAATTAAAACTAAAGTTAAAACAAGTGCATATCGGCTTCAACGCGACAAGGGACTCGGTATTTTTTGAATGATTTTTTTTTATTTAAGCATTTTCATCTATCTTTTTATGAATATTATTAAATGGTTTTGTAAGACAAAATAGTTTTAAGCTGAAAAAAAGTTTTTGCTAGCAATTTTTTTAATTTAAATTTTGAAAAAAAATTTTACGATTAAAATGTCTTTCTTCTCCTACAATTTTTCAATGTTCTCCCCCCAGTTTTTTATTGTATTTATTAGAATGTTCTTAATAACTTCAAGGAATAATTTTGCAATTAATGAATCAGTTTCTGAGAAAAAAATATACACTTTTATCTAAAATCTTTAAAAAAATATGATCTCAGTCACATTTTCATTTCAAATAATTTTTCCTTTCAGTATTTTGCAAAACCCATCCTTGTTTCTATAAAGTATATAATTTTAAATAAGCAGTAAAATAAATTTATTCCATACCTGTATATGTTTTAGGACTTATTGTAAAAGGATTTATTGAAAAAAATGCAAAAGGTTTCTCAGTTTGCATTTGCAGTTTAAATAATACAAACTGTCTAAATAGACATTTAATCATTTCAAATCTTTAAAATTGTATTACTGAATTTCAATGCACACACGTATATATAAATCAAACCTAGTGCTATTTATTCAATTGGTAAATATAAACATAAATTACAAACCTTTTTTTAAAACCTTATGTGGCCAGAAAAATTGCAAAATCTCGTAAAACGCAAGCAGAATTTTTCTTTACCTGTTTTTGTTTTGTAAAACACGTTCAAAACAATTTTAATACATTAATTAATTATAATATTGTTGCATGCGTACGGGTTTGTAATAGATTGATAATAGTTTGTAAATGATTGTCATTGCACAGAAATCCGATGATAGTTTAATTAAATTTATTTTATCAACAGAAACACTTCAAAGTTCTGGAATTTTCTGCAGAAATACTCGTACAAGTGTTTAGAATAAGTAGTTATGCTTCAATCTAATAAGAATGTTAAACACAATGGAATGCAAAATGCATCTTAAGAGAAAGTTAACTCAGAAATATTTCCAATCTCATGCTGAACTAACAACTGGCAACAATAACAACTTGTATAGCATAAATAATGTCATAAAAATAGTGTGGTATAATGAGATTATTGCTTTGAAATCGATGTTTCGAATTGATGCCAAAGAACCAATATTTCCCATTCTGTTTCATTGCATATCTTTCAAAAAAAGTAAAAAAATCATCCAATTAATTTCCTTTATCATTTTTTTAAATGTGAAAAGTTTATTTTATAAGCTGTGAAATTGTAAGTTTGTAATCGATATATTTTTAGATATGAAATTTTAAAATTAATGGGTGTCTAAAAATATGAACGATTTTCAAAAATTCTCTCAAAATATATTTAAAAAAAATTACGCTAAAAATTTCATTCATTTTTTTTTCCTCCAAAGTGTGTTATGGTGTAAACTATAATATTCTGAGATTCTCAGTTTATTTGTTAATATTTGCAAAAAATCGTTTCAACTTTAATTTTGAAAAAAATCTAATTCTCTAAAAATCAAAAGCATGACACCACATCCACAAGCAGTGTATGTACAAAGTTTGAGTTCTATATCTTATCGGGAAGCAGTTTAAAAATCCATGACCATCTTTTAATCATAGTGACAAGCACCAAGGGTGAACCAAATAACAGCTTATAAAATAATAATAATAATTAAAAAGCATATATTTTTCAGGAACCATTACGAAAGTTCAGGTACCAGTTGCGAAAGTACAGATTACAAAATTAACAACAGTAAACAACATTAAAAATTTGTAAACAATATTAGAAATCTGCCAATTTGGAGACATGATTGTTCACAGAGAAGGGAAGGAAGACAGTGGTCTTCTGAATGGGTCCTAAAGACGAAACTCTTTCATGTCTCCTTTTTCTCCTCTTGCTAACAGCTGTGCGAAGGAACATTGCATGTGAATGGGGCTTTAGAGAAGGAACTGTTGTTTGGGAGCTGACTTGCATGTATATGTATCACTTGAAGTAATTCTGAGCATAGTTATATCAAATTAATATAGCTCTACATATAAAAATTAAAATTTTAATTAAATATATAAAGCATATTATAAAGTATGAATTTTAGTTAGAAATATGCTTAAAAGATGTCCATGAAAATGACAGTCTTAAAATTGCATCATTGGACATCTCATGTTTGAATATGAAATAGTGAAAAATTGTGATGGCACATGTTGTATATAACAGCTTCACTTAAAATGATTTATGTACTAATCGATGTTTTTTACACAAAGATGAAATCAGGTTTCCCACCTTCACAATGATCTGTGACTTCCAACCTGTTCCAGCGACCGTGACATCGAGGGTTGGCTACAAATGTCCACCTAGTAGGTTTGCCATCTACCCCATGACCATTGCATCTGAAACCCAAATGTCCTCTCATAGCTGCATCTTCACAGCTTATTCTTAGATGTGCTCCTTTTACAAGTAATGTTGATACACCATCAGCAGTTATGCTTTCACAAGCTTTCCTGACTTTTGTTACTTCGAAGGTTACACAGTATCTGAAAATAATGTATTGAATAATGATTTTTGCAAAAAATAAGGATGGCAGTATACTTTAATATTAATATTTAACAAAAAGAATTCTCTCAACTTTAGTTGAATCTAATGTATTCAAACATTTCTTTATTTAAATCAATTACTGCAATTTCCAAATGTCTTCCTGTTTTGAGTAAATTTAAAGATTGCAGAAACCTTCATAGCATTCTATTGAAGTATCCCTTCAATAGAATGCTATGAAGGTTTCTAGGCTGAATTGTTAAGTAGGGTTGGATTGTTCCTTTGTGAATGTGGTAGTCTTCGTCTCGATATCATTAGGTTGAAGATGTGCATGACTTTAGTTGAAAGGTATTTTCTACCTCTATACCGCAGGCTCTTGTGGTGTAATCAGAAGCACGTCTGTCTAGCAATCGGGAGTGGAGGTTTGTGCGATGCCGTGTATGCGAAAGTCTGATGTTTTCTAAAGCAAAAATAGATCGCTAGGTACTTGGGGAGAATGGCAGAAAAATGCTTGAAGAATGTTTTGTGTAATCCTTATTTATTCAAATTTGTATCTTGCTAAAATTGCTAAAATGTTTTATTTTCGTATGTGGATAATGTTTGTCAACTTATGATAAATACTGACAGTTTGGGAATATATTTTTTAAAAAGTTGTCACAGAAACCATCAATTTGCACATGAGTAATTTTTATTTTTTCATCTGTAAAATGCTGCAAAATGTGTCAAGGTGGTTTCATTTAATACGCAAGTATTGTTATATATTTTAAATATATCTTCTGCCATCTGATGCTGAAACAAAATTTGTTTGGCTTGGGCAGTAGGAACAGTCAGAGCAGTTAATATTTTGAAGCTGATGCAATCAGTGTTAGTTTTGCAGGTGTATTTTTTACTAGTACATCTTTCTTTTCATTATTATGAATAGTTTACTCTGGAAGATTTCTTTAATTCATTTTGATGCAAATTTTCGGAAGAAGTTATTATTGCATTGATATCACTTACTTTTTGAGCCTGGAAGCAATCTTTTAGGCCATTGTCAAAGTCACTTTTTCTCGATTTATCTCATCCCTTTTAATATGTCATTGGCTTCGATTCTGAGATTCTGGATATTTTTCGATTGTTAATTTTTTTCATTCCTTACATTTCGGGAAGATTAAAAGCCCCATTGGCCTTCTTCAAAATATCTCCTTTTGTTAAAGATTGTAATGAAAACTGATGGTTTCATGCAAATAGACTGCACAAACAGGACACCCTTTGCTTTATTTAAATGGTGGATAAAAAATTTATTGAATCAATGAGTCTGAAAACCAATAACTTACAGCTTTTATTGCTTCATAGTTTAGAGAAGAAAATTTTTTTTTATAACTTATAAAGAGAAAACATCCTAATGTATTGCGTGCTGAAATAGTTAATTGTAAAATTTATGTTAGCTCATCAAATAATTACACAACATAGTTACTCAAAAAAAAGTTAAAGATATTTGTTATGTGGAATCCGAATTGTTTCCTGCAGAAATTATTTTAGATAAACAAAGTTTTATTGTAGCTTTAAATTCTTAATGCTAATTTTTTTCATGCTGAAATAATACGGCAAATTCTCCAATCCAAAAAACAATAGCAATTTGATAGTTTAAATTTTTAATTAATTTCTGTTAATCAGTTGTATGAAAAGGCTACAAGATTGAAAAGGTTTTTAGAAATATTTTCCAGAATTTTAGAAAATTTGGCAAAGGAAAAAAATTCCCGTTACCTCCGTATTATTACGATCCTTGTTTTTTTAAATGCAAAGTTGGCACCACCAAAATCGCCAAGTTCATCTTTACTTCTCTCCTACACTTTGTTGCTGCCATGTTGTGCATGTTGCTTTTAATATATTATCAGCCACAAGGAACCAACCAGAGCTTTGTTGTTTTTATAGCCGCCATTTAGGCAGCGCCACAGTAGTTCTGCTTATATGATTATTGTTTAGAATAAAAGCTTTATTTGAATGAAATTAAAGTTATATTTGAACTAAACTGAAATGTTAAACTGAGAATGCTACTGCACGAGATATTTTAATTATAATTTTTTTGGCATATTGTGTATGATTTTTACCATTTAACACAGATTATTAAGATTATAAAGATTTATCAAATGATTGAAAATACTGAATGTATGATTTAAAATGTACAGTCATAACTGTTGAAAATAGAGAAAGAATTCTTTGGCTCAAAGAACTTTTTGATCACTGATTAGTATGTGTGTGCTTCTGTCGTCCAGCTCAAACATAGTAAAGAATAACTTAAATGTTTAGCTTTAAACATTTGAAGAGAATATTTGTTCGATAGGGGTAGTGCTTTCTGCACTGGTACTCTGTTATACTATTCAACATAGCATTCCTGCAGTATAAATGAAAATATGAAATTGAAATTTATTTACCAACTGGAACGAAAGGGGAGGACTGAAGGTACATTTCATGTTATTACAGTCAAAAGTCGTTAATCCGGACTCGTCGGGACTTCGGCGATTCCGGATTATAAGATTATTTAAATCTCGTAAGATGGCATGCAGAAATTCTAAAATTAAAAATATGAAACCGTAATTTATGAAATAAAGAACAATTATGATCTAAAAGGTATTAAAATTTACAAAAAAAAAAAAAAAAAAAGCTTAATATTTATTTGTTTACTTTATTAAACATTTCTTTCAATGTAAGTTGTTTAAGTTGCTTCGTTTTTTGTGATAATACTTTCTCTTTAATTTTATGAACAGACATAATTTCTTGTTCAGTTACAAAGTTCCGCTGTTCAAGTCCCGTTAATTGCCGTGCCGAGAATACCGACTAACTTGTCAGTCGAAATTTTTTCGTTTTCACTAACCTCTCTGTCACATTCTTCATGTTTTTATCCATTTTTTGCAGCAATTCCACTTTTTTTGTTTGTTGGACATCGAAACATACTTTCGTTTTGTAGATCCTTTGGAAGTTCCAGCATCGGAAATTCTATTTGACATAATCGAAAGTTCAAGTTTACTTTTATAAAATTGCTCTTACAGTCTGCAAAAAAATAATAAGCGGGATCCAATTCGAAGATTAAGGAACAACACAATCATTAACATTAACTGAAATAGATAATTAGATAATTTTAGCTTACACCGTCCGTTATACATTAAACGTGCAGGCGAAAACGTATTCTGCACTTGCGCACACGCATATGCGCAGTAGTTAAGATCTTACGCGCACGCGTAAAACGCTTGTGCGCATGTCCCAACGCGGCGCATGCGCAGAAAGTTTTTAGCTTTGAGGTCCGGATTATGGGTGTCCGAATTAACGACTTTTGACTGTATTGCCTTAAGTATCGAATGCAGGCTAAATTTGGAGATTTCAATGCTAAATAGTAACTGGTAACCTCAATTTTTTTAGGTTGAAATAATGGAGTTGTGGGATATTTCTCTCTCGTTCATTTGAGTGTATTTGATTGATATTTGTTATTTTTAAAACAGCTTATTTTTAGATAATGAAAAAAGAACACCTCTTTTCTTTCCATTATGTTGGAGTGAACGCTGAAGTTTCAATTGCTGTAGGGGAATCGGGAATCGTGGCTGAGGCTATGTGCGATGCCATGTGTGTGCAGTTCTTTGTTTTTTTTCGGTGTAAACACATCTCTTCTACAAGGAAAAGACAGCAAAATATATGTTAAAAATCGCATAACAATGTATAGCAAAGAGCTTCCAGAACCTGGAAACCAAAAATACAGAGAAACTGTCTGAAGCCGTAGAAATAATTTTAACCATATAAAATCTGTGTATTTGTGAAGAACCGGTGACTTGCACGGCTTCAAACGATGCAAAACCTGTTAAATCGCATTGGATACACATGGCTCCGAAAAGCAATGCCTCTATGAATCATTGGTGATGCACGTGGTAGTCTAATCGCTTTTTTCACATAGTTGAATGAGAAGTAAAATGCGTCTTGATTGTAAGAAAGATGTAGCATGTTCATTTCTTAGTAAATCAAGTGTCCCTCAATTTTTTTGAAAAATGAAAATGCATTAACACATGGAATACTCAGTCTTATCGACACGAGAGAGTTACGTAAATTTTTAACATTTGTATAAAAAAATAAGATTACTCGAAGCTCATTTAATCCATTGAGCCCAGCGCCGAATTTGCGGTCCTTTCCGTTCAGCCGGTGCGAACGCTCAAGCGGTGCAATGTTGCAGATTTCCACGATTTCATGCACTGAGTAAAGCTTATCTGTTGGTGAGCTTTGTCGGCTACTGACATATAAGCCCTACCTATGTGTGACAAAGCTCGTGGTTGCGAATGTTAATACTGGTCCGCCAAACGAAAATTCTAGTGTGCCGGTTCCCAGGGACAGGGGCCCTCCAACGGCCGAGCGGTAAAGTCGCTGAACACTGGGTAGTTCGGTCTGAGGTTCGAATCTCGCGAACGGGCTGGCTGCATTGGCGTTTTCGTGGTTTTCCCCATGTGTAACGTGTATACAAGCCAGTTTCCCTAAGAAAAACCTCCATGAAGGCATCCCTCCCCTTAGGCAGCTAGTCCTCGTGTGCTTTGCCATAATTAAATACACCACACTCCAGGGACAGACGCCGGGCTCAACATCTTAATTGCAAACAAACTATAAATGACCATCGTTATGAATGCTGAAAATTCGAAGAGGGTTTGCGTTGGCAATTTCTCTATAACCTTGGCGCCGCAATAATGAAGAACTAAATAAGTCTTTTCTGTAGCTGCAGTTTTTAAGTTTTTCTTAAGATTTATATATATATTTTCATTTAATATTAAAGGATGTATAATGTAACATTATTTGGTACTATTCCGTTTTGAGGACCGTAAAAAATCTCCTAACTAATGTTGATGCCAGTGCTGCCAAAAATAATTACGGCAACCCTAACGCAAGAAAGGAAGTGTAATACTAAATAACTATCTAAAGATTATTGTTTTAATTCATATGAAAGGTTAATTTCATATAATACATTTTATTATTATAATTTATATAAAAAAGG